GCAGCAGCAGCAGCGGCAACTGCAGCAGTTGCAGCAGCAACAAAAGGCAACTGCAACACACACTGCAATTAACTTTGCGGTCAACAGCCACCCACTGGCCAACTGCCTCTGTGTGCGTGCCTTGGGTATTGGTATTGGTGAGTGAGTGGAAAGAAGAAGAGGCGCCAGTGGCTTTGACTGCTGATGCTGCGGTTGTTGCTGCTGCTGCTGCTGCAGCTGATGTTGCTGCTGTTGCTGGTGTTGCTGCTTGCTGCAGCTGATGTTGCTGCCGTCGTCTGTGATTAAAGGCCAAATGACAACAGCAACAAGCGGCTGAAAACGAGCTGTGGCTGCGAAATCAAGAGGTAGCCGAATTGAAAATGCCCTTGGCCAAAGATTCTTGAGTGATTTTTGTTAAAAAAAAATATTTAACATTACAATGGGTCTTTCTAAATGTAGGTTGATATAGGCATACAATTTTATTTATATTTTCTAAGTTACTTGATTTTCAACAGCTATAAAAATAGGTAAATAAATATTACAAAAATATATATAAAAATCCATAGATATTTATTGTTGACCCAAAAATGTAGAAAATAATGTGGTGACTATTTTATTTTGTATTGACCTGATTGACCTGATGTGGCAGCATAGGTTTGATAAATAAATAAATATTTAAAGCACCATAGCACATTGAAGTGATCTATTGTGTACTCCATTTCTGACCAAGAACATTTTTTTTTTAAGTTCCTAGCACCCATAAAGTTGCAGTGTATTGCAAGTTGGCTGTCCACCGACAACGTCGTCAACTGCATTGCAATTCATTGCATTGAAATGGGTGTCACTCTGTAACTAGCACATTCTCGATAATGATAATGCATAATAATGATAATGATGATGATGCTGATGGCGATGATCATAGAGCTGATTATGATGGTTATGATTGTGATGAGGCAAGCGACTCCTTCGAACTGCGGCATTCTCTCGCTGGCTCGTCATCGACAGCAGCAGCATATTGAAACTGGAATTTGAATCCGGTTGCCGGTTGCTGTGATGATGCACCCCCTCTATAAAGACCTACACCCCCTCCCTTGCTGCCTGAAAATGTTGTTTGTGCCATGTTTATTAAATGCCATTAAAGCCATTTCTTCAGCCTTTGGCTTTTGCACTTTGAATGGTGACTGCAGGGGGTTTTTCGAGCCTCGGGGGACACGGAAGTGTGCGTCACACTGTGGGAGAGTTGCATTGTCAGCAGCAGCAGCACTGCTCAAATGTCAAAAGGTACATCAGCAACAAGAACGACACGAGCAACACGAGCAACACGAGCAACATCAGCAGCAGCAGCAGCAACATCAGCCAAGCGCAATCAGCAAATTGCATTAAATGACTTTGTATTGCAATTGTTGCCCCTCTCGCTGATATATCTTTGAAGTACATATATAGTATATATACATATATATCGGATATATGTTGAGCGAGCTGGGGAATCTCAGCTTTATCGGAGAAAGAGACAACTTGAGAAAAGTGAAAGAGCCGAGAAAGGGTAACTGCAATATCTGGAAAAAGGCAATCATGCACACAAACAAATTTATGGGTAAAATTCACCAATACGGATAGTTACGTAACTGTAAGAAATGGTTAAGAATTATAAAAAATTAAGATTTTGTTACTATTTACCAAAAAAAAAAACTACCATAAAATGGTAAGTTGTGTGTATTTTATTGTTGGTACAGTAACTATTTCTTTTTGACTCACAATTTTTTTGTGTGTATAGTGAATACATATAAGTAAATCGAAACTGATGTATAAATTATAGAGTCTTTTTTATACACTAGAGTTATTAAAAATAATTAAAGCTGATTTGATAGCTATGAAAAATTAATATTTTACCACATTTTTCCACAAAAATCGATAAGGCCTAAACTGACAACTGCCTGACAGCCAGCTAAAAGCGCCAAAAAAATAATGTTTTCGTTTCTTTTTAAGGGATTATATTGTGAATTGTCTGACATTTGCTTAATTCCCCTGGGCTTATGGGATTGCAGTTTAAAGGTGCACCACTCAGTTAGGCTTAAATAGATATAGCTTGGACATTTATCAACTTTATTCTTGGCCCTATAGAACAACAACACCCCTAGTCTCACAGCTCCTGCTCGTTTTTCATTTGCTTTAATAAGCAATTTGATCGCTTGTCTTGACATTTACTGTTTACACACATTTCTTCTTTCTCTACACACAGTAAGTACTCGTAGTTGCCCATGAAAGTCTCGGACCCCCTTTCTCCTCCTCTTCACAGCCAGCATCAAGGGCAGAAAATCAGAAAATCTGAAAATCTGTGGCGCACATTAAAACGTTTCACTTAATTAAAATCAACGGCAACACAGGAACAGCAACAAAAACGACTGCAAAATGACCGCCCCCATATATAAAGTATGGTATTCCGTAGTCCCCTACGTATAAACCTATATATACAGGCGCTAATAGTCCGATGTGAGTTCGTGTGAGAGCGTTGAAAAAATCAAAAAAAAAAAAAATGAAGGAAATATACAACAAAAATAAGAATTCAGAGCACTGCCAAAGACGTGGCTCGAGAGCTTCCAGCATTTTTTCTACTTTGTGTGACTAACGACTTGAAATTGCGCTTATTAAGACTTCCTGATTCATAATTTCTGGCAGCACTGGCAACAACAACTATAGACAAGTGGCAGGTCTATGAGGTTACGAATGGGGTTTACCCAGTATTTCAATATTAAAAAAAGAAACCATAAAATAACCATAAATTTGATATTTACAGCGACAGCTGCAGAAACATTGTAATATTTTTAGGATACAACAAAGCAACTGCAAAAAGGGTTATACACAAATAACACAAGCCTGTATAAAAAGGTTAATAAATTATTCTTAAAAGCAATTTTATGACCTTAAACCAGTTTTGTGCAAATATATGCACTATACGTTTCCAGGGAACTATGAAGATGAAATCATACACGATACCTAAGAAACCCAGTAAAATTGAGTTATACAAATGGTATTGTGTAGAGTTGTAGCTATAAAAGGATTATCACATTATTTCAAAGGGCAAGTTTACGACCCTAAACCAGCTCTATCCAGAAAGTTTTGTAAAAATATACATTGCAAGCGAGTACGTATATAAGCGCGAATTCTTCAGGAATTATATTCTGCACTATAGGCTCGTTTCTAGGAGACTTTTAAGATCAATCAAATTCATTAATACAAACGATATTGTATAAACTTAAATGAAAAGATAATTAAATTATTTCCAAAGCCAAGTAAAAATATACATTGCTAGCAAGACCTAGGCAAATTGGTATGCTAGAGCGAATTCTTCAGGAATTACATTCTTCACTAAAAGCTCGATTCCAGGGAACTTTTAGGCTGGAATCACCTTATCAAATACCCTGTATTTCAAGCCAGTCGTGCCAGAGAGCAAAAGCCACCGAATTAAATTATTTCCAAAGCCAAGTAACAATATACATTGCTAGCAAGACCTAGGCAAATTAGTATGCTAGAGCGAATTCTTCAGGAATTACATTCTTTACTAAAAGCTCAATTCCAGGGAACTTTTAGGCTGGAATCATTTTATCAAATACCCTGTATTTCAAGCCAGTCGTGGCAGAGAGCAAAAGCCACCGAAATAAATTATTTCCAAAGCCAAGTAACAATATACATTGCTAGCAAGACCTAGGCAAATTAGTATACTAGAGCGAATTCTTCAGGAATTACATTCTTCACTAAAAGCTCGATTCCAGGGAACTTTTAGGCTGGAATCACCTTATCAAATACCCTGTATTTCAAGCCAGTCGTGGCAGAGAGCAAAAGCCACCGAAATAAATTATTTCCAAAGCCAAGTAAAAATATACATTGCTAGCAAGACCTAGGCAAATTAGTATGCTAGAGCGAATTCTTCAGGAATTACATTCTTCACTAAAAGCTCGATTCCAGGGAACTTTTAGGATGGAATCACCTTATCAAATACCCTGTATTTCAAGCCAGTCGTGGCAGAGAGCAAAAGCCACCGACTTGGCGCACTTTTGCGCCATCGTCTTGCCGCGAAGAATTTGCGGGGAATGTGGTGAGGTATTTGCTTTTCTCTCACTCTCCACTCGCTTTTTTCCCCCATTTTTTCTCCACCTTTTTGTTTTTGTCTGGCCTTTTGTTTTTTGTTTTTTGTTTTTTCTTTGTTGGTCTGTAACGATTTTTGTAATTTTATTAATTTTTTGTTTTTCTGAATCTCAGTGTCTCTTTTTTTATATACGGTTCGGTTTTGCGGGCTGACTCTGCTTTCTTTCGATTGTCTTCCCGGGGCTTCCCCGCCCCTCGCGGCGTTCATAATTTTCGAGGGACTGGACTGAGGACTGGGGATGGGATGAAATGTTGGTCATGCTGCGGGCAAGATTTTCAAGTGACACGAGCAGTTACCGCCACGCCACACTCACACAAACAGTCCGCTTTGTGCATTAATTTGCTGGTGTGAAGTGCTAATCAATATATGGAGGCAGAGGCAGAGGCAGCAGATTAAGGAAATGCAATTTCCACACCGAGCGGGGGTGGAAAAAGTCACAAAGTCCCCCCCTAATTTATAAGTCAAACATGTCGGGGAATTTGAAAGGAATGTGTGCCGAGTCAAAGCAAGGGGATCAATGACATTTGAGATGGGCGGCCCAAAAAGGATGGGATAGGCAAATGTTCGGAATTTTAAATTAAAGCCACTTGACGACATTAAGGATTTATAGATAATAAGCATAGGTAATAGATCCAAATTACAAATGCATATTTAGGATTCAGTATTGGCTTTGAACGTGAATATATTTTAGAAATTTTTTAAGGTACTTTGCTGTATCTTGGATAATCCTTTCTTGGTATGAACCCTGGAGTTATTTCCTAATTTCGGTTTTTGATTTAAGATTTGTATAGTGAATAGTATTCGCTGGGTACTGATCGCGTTGAAAACAGGGGTTCACATTTATATATGTTATATGCTTGGAGTTAACTGGACTCACCTGGTGATCCATGGCGGTTGCGTGGTCCCTCGGTGCGCACGGCGAGCAGGGTTTCCAGGTTGCTGAGGGCCACGAGGGCCAGTAGCAGCAGCGCCAGGGTTGTCAACTGGCCGCGCTGGCGGTGGTGCTGTGGCTGGTGGTGCAGGATGCTGTGCTGCTGCTGCGGATGGCGGTCGCCGATGGGCGAGGATGTTGCTGCTGACGGGGCGACCTCGGTGACCTGCAGCGGGTCGGCGGCAGGGTTGTCGCCCTCGGCGGGGTCGGGGGTCAGCAGGGTTGTCGCCGGTGGTCGCCAGCGAGAACGCATTCTGGCCTTATTGGGCGGCTTGCGACCAAATCCGAATCCAATGCCCACGGGCGTCGGATTCATTTTTGGTTCGTTGGTCGCTTCCCTGGCTTCTTCGCTCCTTATCCTTGGGCTGGGCTATCCTAGGCTTTGATTTGGATATTCGAGTTCTTTGGTGACCCTCTGGTGACCTCTTCTCTGCCCACCGCTCTTCTGTCTTTCTTCTTGAGATTTCCCTCACTTGGCGTTTTCTTTCTGTATTCCTTTTGTGCGAAATATATATGTTTTTTTGGTGGGCTGCTTTAATGAAATAAGCGGAAAATTAACGCGTTTAATATTTTTAATTATTATTGAGGGCGAGGCCGGGGGGCTCTTGAAAGCGCAATTAATTAAATTTAATTTCCCCGTCGGCCGTCGTTCGTCTTATTCCGTTTGCTCTTTTGCCTGCTAAACTTTTTTGCTTATGAAAGATAATTGCTCGCCGTCTCGCTTGCACTCTGTTCGCCGTCTCGCTCGCTCGCTCGCGTGGCCCTATCTTTTTAACACTTTTTACAATAATTGAAAAACTTTTTTCGGCTGCTTTATGTGAACTTTTGCCTTCGGCGTCTTTAAACTTTTCTCCTTTCTCCCCGCGATTTTCTTTTGCGTATTTATTTTTTATTTTCTTCTTATATTTTTTCGTCGGTTGTTGTATTTCAGACACTTGAAAAATAAAAATTAATATGGTGTGAGGGAGATGGAGATGGCATCTTGTTTGTTGCTGCTGCCGGCTCTTTCGTTTGATAGGGAAATTGCATATCCCTTGGAGTTTTCCACTGCAATCCTGCAAGGAAAAAAATGGTGGTGGTGAGAAAAGTTGGCAAAATGTTTATCCAGAGCATTTTCCAATTATTAAGTGAAGTGCGATTAGTTTGTGGAAAGTTTTCGAACGAGAATTTACTATGTAATATGGGAATACTTTGATGGAAGATGGTACAGAATATCAAATTATAGAAAAGTTAATCCTATAAAATAAAATCTGTAAGTAGTAGATTTTATTTGTAGTACCAATGATTTCTATTTTTTTAAGGTCTTTTTTTAGTATTAATTTACTTTACTCAAGCAATTATAATTTTAATAATTATTAATGAAAGACAGTATAGAAAACCTATAAAATGGAATCTCTAAGTATTTTTTGTACTTAATGATTTCATAGTTCTTAAAAGTTCTTTTTCAAGTTCTAATTTGTTTACATAACCAACTATTATGCAACTCTTTTCCATATTTCTGCTACTTTTAATACAATTTGAAGACTCCGACTTGGAATCAAGTCGCATTACCGCATCGAAAGCGAAAGAAGAAAGCGGCGTGGAAACGAGGAAGAAAATAGAACATTGAGCAGATTACATTAAATTAAAGCACAAATGAATTGCTCGACGAAGCGAAAGCGAAGAAAAAATAAAAAGCAGGCTGGAAAACGTGGATGTGAAATAAATAAAAAGTAAAGTATTAAAAAATGAGCAACAGTCAGATACAATGGGAGATCATAATATGGGCTGGGGAGTTGGGAGATGCCTCCACCTACAAGTGGAAAATCACGCACATCGTCTTCGAAAGGAAAACCCAGTGGGTGGTTTGGGGGGGGTGGTGGACACAATGACGGTGAGTGGGTGCACATGCGGTTAGGTCAGATTGAGGAGTAGGCCCGACGATGCCAACGAGTCAACAAAAGAAATTGCTAATGTGCGCAAATAAAAATGGCTCAAGAAAATACACACACACAGTCAGTATTAGACAATTGAAATTGAAAATCAGTGAAACCTGTTTTCACACACAAAAGCTCACGCACGCCAAGCTAAGGCGCACAAAATTGCAAAAAAAATTGCAAAGAAAAGAAAAAATTACAGAAAAAAACGAAATGAGAAAATGGCAAATAGAAAATGGAAAACAAAAGAGGAAAAACCAATGCAAAGACACAGGGCAAAAGTTGGGGTCAAAGATGAAATGCACTCAAAGTGCAAAAAGGAAAGGACGGAAAAACATTATATAAATTGTCAACCACTTGAAGGAATTTTAATAAGGTGGAAAAATATATAGATAGAGGTAAATTGGTTAGGTATCTCAAGTATTTTGAGTTGCTGTAATTTTACGAGTTAGGATAAGTAGTATTTTGAACTCTTTGGAACTCAATTTTAAAAATTGACAAGAAGTTCACAAGTTTTTTTGTATAACTTTAACTATCATTTATAAGAAAACACATTTTTTTTTAAATTTATTGGTATTAAAAAGTAAAAGATGAAGTATCTCAGGTTTATAATACTTAGCAATTAACTAAGTACTAGCAAATATAACAAAATCCCCAAAAATAAATGAAAAAGCCCATATAAATATCACAACTTTTCCAAAAATTATATTTTAATGCAATATTATATACCCAATTTTATTGACCAAAAGTGACCAAAGAACCTCATATTTAAAAAAAAAATCCCAGAAATTAGAAGGCCAAGCATGAACATTCCGATTTTCCGAATTTCCTTAGGCTATGTTGAAAAATCACTAGCAGGTCGCCTTCTGCCGGGCAAGTCGATGGAAAATGCAGAACATTTTCGGTCAGAGAAAATCCGCCATTGCCCCGTGGGCGGTGGGCTATCATCAACATCAACATCAGTATTTAGCCCATGGCCCATCGTCATCTGCGACATTTCGCTGCGCAAATGAAAAGTTACGCGAATCAGCAGCAGCCGCAGGGATCGGTGTGTGATGATAGAAGGTGGCATATTGATAGGGGGGTTTTGTGGTTGGGGTTTTTTTGGCCAGGCCGAGCACACCTGTCCGTTTTCATTACGCGGCAGCCAAGAAATTGCCAAAGCCATTTTCGAAAATGGCCACAAACACGGGGGAAAAAATGCGAAAAGTAGGGGAAATGGGTGCACCCAAAAAAACAGAAAGTTAAGATCCAATACAGGTTGTATTTGAGACTAAATAATAAGAAGTCTATACTGTACAATATCATTTCTATATTAAAAAGTCTCGAGCCTGGATTTGTGGTATTATTTTTAAACAAATTAATTTAAATTTAATGCTTTGGTAAGTATTTTATTTTAATACTCATCTTACAGATCCCAAGTCGACACTCAATAGAGTAGAATTAATGTAACAACAGTCGCTTTTCTATGTCTTATTTCTTTCGGTGTGGGTAGTACCGGGACATCGTCATAACTTGAAATTGAAATGGGAAGAGGTGGCAGGGGGGGTTAAATTCCCCCTGCCTAACGATCCAATCACGCGACCATCTCTAAGCTCGCCTCCCCCAGAAAATCAGTTTGGATCTGGATTTATTGCACTCTCCCCGCTCAGAACACCAGAATCCCGCTAATGTTCGCGCTGAAAAGCTCTCAGGAAAAAAAAAAAAAATGGAAAACCAGGGAAAAAGAAAAATCAAGAGGGTTGGCTAGAAGATATCCCAAAGACGGCACCGCAAAATGTTTTTGGCCAATTGGCCACACGCGGCTCGTCGGGCATCAGGTGCGCATTATGTCAGGAATATGAAATATGATAACAACAAAACAAAATAAATGTATATGAATAAAAATTCACAACAATCGAAAGGAAAGGCCGCCGACAAGCCAATAATAAATAAAAATAATGCCATAAAATATACTCCAAAGTAGGAAAAAGTTGCCAGCAACCATCGTTGGGAGGTAAAAAATACGTATAACAGGCAATCCCCAATTGAAATATTTAAATTTTGTTTCACATTATGGAAAAGCATTTACGAGGGGGTGCTGGCGAGGAAATAAAGCGAAAAATAAATGACAAATTGAAGACGGGTCAGGGCGAAGAAGAAAAACCATTTCGTAGCGGGAATTGGTTAAGATAAAATGAAGAGGGGGCGTCATGGGAAAATCCTTGAGATACTCAAAAAATAATCAAGACATTGCATGTTTAAATACCCATGAAAATAGAAATACACAAAAAATAACAACAAAAATTAAATAAAAGTATTTTCCTTTAAAATAATCAATTAATCCTTGGATAGAATGCCGAAAAAATGCCCATTTTTATTAAAAACTTTGGCTTTAATTCAATTGCGCTCAAAGGCAAAAGCTTTTCCCTCTTTTGTATGCCGCACATAAATTGAAATATTCAATTGGAAAAAAATCCGACCAATTTCCCATGCCGAATTTTTCGTTTTCTCTTTGACCTTCTGCCATTGTCAACTAAATGTTGATGGAGGTTGATGCGTCACAGAGCCACCGCAACCACCCCCCAAGCCCGACGAGCTTTGAGTTTTCCTCCAGTTGGGCAGCAACTAGTCAGCAATTTTCCACCGCCCCATTTTCCCATCTTCACTTTTTCCCGGTTCTCACCTTGATTCATCATTGTTTCGTGTGTTCTGGCTTTGATATGCTTTCATTGCGAGATTTGCGATTTGCGATTGGGGGAAAATAGGGGACTTTTGTATGAAGAGCGGGGGGCTTTTGTGTTGGTTCTGCTTTTGACAAATCGGGGCTAAAAATTCAATGGCTTTCCAACGTTTTTGCATGCACCGACAGGAGATAAAAAGGTGCCACAGAAGGTGAAAGATGTTTGAGATATACAGAGGAAAAATTCCCAAGAAAGTTGGACAAGTTATGAAAAAGGCGTTTGAAAATATGGTATTTAAGATTTTTGTTTAAGATTTTTTAATGATATTTAATATATTTCTAATAAATATTTTTAGAGCTCATATTTTTCTTCAAGAATACTATTAATAGGGGTATAATTTTAACGAAGTCTTAATATTTTAAGATCTTTGTTAAAGAACGAGCCAGATATCAGAATTATGTTAAAATCACAATTTTAGGATATGAGATGATTGAGTCTAAAGGAACTGTCAACAGAAAATGTGGTAAATATATATTATTATTTAAGATATTTTATTAATTATTATATTTTTTATAAATATTTTTCATAAAAAATTCTATTGACAGTAATATTATTTTAAAGACATTTGAAAAGAACAATCCAGTTATAAGAACTATTTATTCGAATTCTAATGTTTGTAGATAATAGAAATATATAATATCAAATATTATGTTGTAATTTTTTGCTCAGTGTATGGGCCAGAAGAAAACAGGTAAAGTGACTTTGCGGCGCCGCATTTGACTTGAATCAGCCCCTTTTTTCGCCCCCTTTGGGATCTTCTTGGCTTTTTCTTCTTTTAAGCTATATTTTTTATCCCCCTTTTTTGCAAGCTCAAAGAAATTCTTCTTTCTTCTGCTCATTCGATTTTCTTGATGTTGTGACGACTTTTGCTGTTTCATTCTTCGGCTTTTCCCCGTTCTTCTGTCTTCTGTTTTCGGTCTTCTGTCTTATGTCTTCTGTCTTCTGTCTTATATATCGTGTCTCTCTGGGTTTCTGTTATTTGGGTTAAATATCGGAGTGAAAACTGTGTTAATGGGTGAAGTTTATATATATCTGCATAAAGCTATACATATGTGTGTAAGCGGCCCGCAATTTTCTAGCTGCGTTTGCATTTGGTCAACCGTGTTTTTTGGTCAACGTTGCAAAAAATAGGAGCGGAAGAATTAGTTGGAACTAAAACAAAAAAAAAAATAGGCAAGTCATATAGCGAAAATTTATACATTAAAACAGAAGTTAAAAGAGAATATTAAATAAAAGACTTCATTTAGAAAAAAACAATTGCCTGCCGTTCAGAATTTTCCCGATAACATTAAGGTAATTCAGCTTGAATGAAAAAAGGGGAAAGCACCCAAAATAAATCTAATTCCTTGGCTCCATTTACACAGTGCTGCATAAAAGTTATGCAACGGCA